TTGGCCTTCTTGGTGGAACATGGTTAGCCCAAAACCTTATTCTTTCTTGGCTTCCATCCTTATTCACATGTACCCAAGACTATAAAATATAAGTCCAACTTAAGTAAAATCAAAACAATTCCTAATCTTCTGTGTATCATGATTTGGTGATTAGTTTGAATTTGCTATACAGACTAAAAGTCTTATTCATTAACCTAGAAAGCCTTATTTGTTAACCTTCAAACCAAAAATGTGTATCACAAGAATGACTGAATCTACAAGCTGTTAATTTCCACACAAGGAAATAAATAATTGCAGCCCTTTTTTATTATCCTCTTAGACAGTAATATCAGTGTCTGACTGATTGTTAAGTAGGATTGCCTACTGGCTAGTTTTAATTTCAAGCCAAACCTTCCACCTGTTTCTTTTCTTATACGTTGCTATGGTGAAGATAATCATAGACTGCATACAAAAGTGAAACACAGAAGGATCACTGAAAAAAACATCCAGACAAAGACATGTAATAATAACTGAAAAAAAGGCATATTGCTTGGTTGGCACCATTAAGCAGTCATAGTTTTCTGGCCATATTTTTCTGCTGACCCGTCCAGAAATATATTTGGAATTGTGAACTTTGAAGTGTTTCAATTTTCCTGACAAAATATTGCTAGCAAATACATTATCAAATACAAATGCTTTCTAACAAAGCATTTTAATTTTCTTTACATCTTTACATGCCATTAGGTCAAGGGCTGTATTGTGTGCTGGTACTGCAGCTCCTACCTCTTTTGGCCACTTCTATTCACACCCAGTTAGCTCTCCTGGACTGTAATGCTCCAGTCACAGGATTAACAACCCACAGAGAGATGGGAATCTTTTGCAGAGCTCAGGCCAGAAAAAGCCAAACAAAGGGCCCTTATCTGTAGGTGCCTGTGTGGGTAGGCTGCCACAATTCCAATGTAATTCATGAACACTGGATATTTGCATTGCACATGCTCAGCAGAACTTGAAGCCCAAAGGGCAAAGTATACTCTTGATAATCCTAGGAGCTTATAAAATGTTCCTCAGATATTCCAGTAAGGTCAGGAATTTAGTTTAGAAGCTTTATTTTAAAGGCAAACACTTTATAATCTCTCCTCTAAAAGGACCCTCCCTATTGGACAACAATGCTTTGAAAAGAGAAGCAAAATATTAGTGCTAATCTTTCATTAACCTCTCTTGCTGTTACTCCTGAAGTACCAGATCTGGGTTTCATCTGAACTTCATTTCCCCCTGAGATACAAATCCTTTCCACCATCTGAAGGGAACCATTTTATTTTTATGATGTTTTTCCAGTGGTTTCCCCATATATTGTTTGAGTGGCATGGGTACTATTGGGCAGTCATTAAAGTTCAAGACCCAATTCCAGCAACCTTCTTGAGAGCATGTTTGAGTCCAGATGATTCAAACTCTTTCTTTGGCAGAAGACTCCTCTAGTTAAGTGGGAATATTGCCTGTAAAAAAGAAATGGGCTCCAAATGTTCTTGTAAGAAGGAGGTCCTGTGAAGGCATCTATTCTGTAATAGGAGAAGTGTGTAACATTGAAATCACAGATTTACTCCTAGCAGAACCTCTGGAGATTTTGACAATGATCAAGAACATTTGGGACAGAATCATTTGAGCAGAAGTCACAAAAGCAGAAATTTTTCTGGCAATGTTCCAGTAATAGAAACAGGAGATTTCCGTAGGTTGAGGGGAAATAAAAAGTTCGCTAAAATTTTTAAGACTGAAAAGCAATAATTTTTATTTCAAATCCAAACTGAATTTATTCAGAACTATATATCCATCCTTAATTATTCTTCACTGAGTCCTCTCAAGCAGGACAGTCCAGAGCTACAAGTACCAAATGGAAGGAAGTCTGTGCTCCACTCTGTTGGAACCTGCCACTGTTTTTCAGGATATGTGCCTCAGCTCATATCCCTGCATGTCACTTTTCCCCAATATAAAATAATGACATTCTTTCTGTTTTTGCAGGTTGAACCACACACTGTTTTTAAGATTTCATGGCAAATTATTAGAAACATGAGCTGGTGATATTAATTGCACATTAATTATTCACTCAGTGGTCAATTATTAACTATTGAAGGTCTTGTTTTACTCTAAGTTGAAATGGATTTCTAGGTACTTGGAAGTTATTATTAATACACAATAACTCTATCAGTTTTTGCAGCAGTCTCTTTTACAATTTAGTTTCAGTGGAATGTACTTTCCAAACCTTTACATCCAGCAGTAAGGCAGATACAGCATCGAAGCCAAATGCTACAGTGAGATTCCTCAGCAGCACAGACACATGGTTAAGAGCTTTCAGCTTTCTTTCATGGGGGATTACATACAACCTGAAATATTTGGCTGGTGCACTGGGCCTGGTTTGGTCCCTGCCTCTTAATAGGAATGCAAGAAGGGCATTCAGGAGCACTATGTAGGTTGCCCATAGTCATTGTAGGGACTAAAACTGCATCCCAACAGACAGCCCCTCTAGGTTGGCCATGTGCAAACTTGTGGGCTTTAGACTGAATTCTCTTCTTTGGCTGCTGAGCCATTCTCTAAGGAGGCAGTGGATCCACCAACTAAACTGATTTTGCAAGGTGCCAAGCTAAGCTAAGCACTGTAGAGTAATGCTGAGTGTGGCTATATCTTCTGGTGGCATAATTACATTCCCTCAGAGACAAAAAAAAAGGAAAAAAAGATGTCATAAATCTACCAGTTAACCCTTTAGTTCACACCTCCTTAGTATAGAAGGACCACTTTTCCACCCTAAAACAGAAGGTGTCCCTGCAGAGCTGATTCCTGCAAAGACACTACTTCCTCTATTCCTTTTCTACCATGTTGAAGGTCTCACCATAGGAATTGACTCAAAGGAATAGTTGTGGCCCTTGTGGGCATATTTTCCCCAGTGGCTCTGGCCTTTATGAAACCATGTATTAAATCCTCTGTGTCTGGCATTAAAACTCTGCTTCCCTATGTTTGGCCTCATTCAGTGCTCTGTGATTTGCATTCACTTTACACACCAACCCCAGATTTTGGTTTGCATCCCCATGAGCCGTCCCCCTCAGAGATATCTAAGCCTCAGACATCTGTAAGTCAACTTGCAGTCCAAAAAGGTCTTACTAGCCTAAAGAATTTAATTGCTTACTGGAAAGAATGGCTAGGAAATAAACGAATGATTCCACAGGCTTTAAAATAGGTTAGTGTTTCTTTGTGAAGATGTCAGAGCTTCCAGTTTTCACTGTTTTCATCTACTCTTGGGGGCTTCAATTTTATCCTCCATTTTTTTCCTCCTGGCACTGACCAGAATTGGCTTGTTAGAGGAGCCCAAAGCTGGAATTAGGAGTTTAGAGCATATATATGGATGATCAGAAAGGAGCAAGGGACCACCAAGGCAGAGTTTCAGGGCCCTGGGGCAAGAGATGTCCACCAAGGGCTCCAGGAGAACATAGTAACTGAGTCATAATAAGGCCCAGTGGGACTTGGAGAGCTTTGGTGACCTCCTGAGCTGAAAAGCATCCAGGGCAGGAGCCAGGCTAGCCCAGCAAGGATTGTGTGCCATAATGGCTAAAATCTTGACACCCATCTCAGGTCTTCTTCTGTTCGTATTCTCAATGGTAGGTTTGTATCAGTGTTAAAGATTTGGGAAAAAAATACTTTGGTACTGTTTTATATGGAAGGTGTACAAAACCTGAAAAGACTGTTCACACTGTAAAGTCAAGAGGTTGGCAGACAGACAAGCCTAAACTAGAGAGATGTCTGGTTAAAGGAATTCACCCCATGAAGGACCACCTGAAGGTGTAGGGGATTTTGCACTGCACTGAACTACTCAAGGCTTCCATTGGCAATGGCTCTCAAATTTTTGAGGCTGCTCAAGATGCCTGAGTTTTACAAACTGTTGGTATTTGTTAAAGCTTTTTGGGTTACTTGATTTCCTACTCCAAAGCAAATGCCAATTTTTCAGTTTTCCCCCCTCATAATATATGTTAATTTTGAAATCTTGCTATAGAAATCAAATTGAGAAAGTCTGATTTAGAGGTAAAAAAGGTCCTTTGGAAAGTAGTAAAAAAATTGTTCAAGAAAAAATTTAGAGAAAATTAAGTATGCTGCTATAAAATATGGGTTGAAGACCAGAAAAAAAGTCAGTAGCATGTGCTAATAGAAAAGGCAAAACAAAATATGACACAAAGATAAAATCCAAACTAAATGGTCTCCTTTGTTTGGATTAGACATTTCCTCAATATCAGCATGTTCCGACAAAACATTTCAATTTTGCCAAAATTGCGTTTCCTGGCAGAAATGGACAGTAAGAAGGTTTTGACTAGCACAAGCACACGTGTGCCAAGTGATTCCTTTTGTGTGTTGTGGTTTTCATCCACTGTGGAGTGAACTTTTACTGAGCCTCATTCATTCATCTGCCCCACCATAAAAATGCACGGCTATTTTAAGCACGCCGTAAAGTGAACCGTGTCGCTTGGCCAGGCTGCCCAGTTGTGGGAGTGTGGGACAGGAATCCCTCTCTGCACCCACCCCACACCCTGCCTTGCCACCCCCCGGGATGGATCAGCCCCACGAGCCCAAGGGGAGCAAGGACAAAGTGCCTCCTTCTGGAGATGCCTGCAACTTCAGCTCACCCGGGATGGCTCATAGAGAGACATATCTGCACTTCTCTTTCTCCCCGCTTTAAAAGAGCTTTCTTTACACAGGGAAAGCGGCTATCTGTGTTCTGAGCACTGAGCCAACAAAGCCATCACAGAAAGGATCTGTTGCCAGAGTCCAGAAAGGGTTAAGGCAGCAGTTGGAGAGGTTTGGGGTGACGTGTGCTTCTGGACGCCTGAGAAGTCTCTTGAAGGTAGTTCCCCTCTGGTGAGGATGGGAGCGTGCTGAGGTCTGAAATCCGAGATCCCTCGCAGTCTGGAGCTGGTGAGGTCCCAGTAAAAGCTGTTTGCCTGCTTTCCCTTCCCGAGCAGTCACACCGCTGCACTGGCCTGGGCAGCATGGAGCCAGCACCCTGGACACTTGTAGGACTCACTCTTCTCCAGCTCCTGCTCATCTCCTGCTTGCCAAGAGGTACTGTAAGAGAGCGTGTGTGTTCCCGGCATGGTCGAGTGAGCCCCCTTCCTTCAGTGTGGTCAGAGGGGTTTGATCTCATGCACTGTCATGGAAAGCAGAGAGATCCGCAGGGACAGCAATAATAGAAAGAAAGGGCTCTGCTTTATGTACTTTTTTCTTGTCAGCATGGAATGTGTGTGTGTGTGTAGGTTTACCCAGGAATGATTTTCAGGCAAACTTAATAGCCTTAAAGAGAAACAACTGGCTGAATCTGTTTGCCAATGGCCATTAAGAAAAAGGTATGCAATCACTTTGCTTATTACTTCTTTTATTTTCTCAACACTCAGTGCTACGGAAATGATGATAAAAAGGGGCATTTAAGTCTCTGAATTGTAAAGCGTAATTTGTTTAGTTTGGCAAGACAGAGATTTTCCTCTCCAGCCTCAACACCACGAATGAAGGCAAGGGAGAAAAAAGTGAAGGAAAAAAAGAAAACAAAACCCACACATTGTTTCCAATCTGGGATTTAGCTCTTCCAATATTATTCTCTCGAAGGGGAAGCCTTGTTAAAGCAGAACGATCTTTTTTGTGCTCAAGCCCCATCCCAGTTTCTGCTGAGCCAGCAAGTATTATCTTGATAAGGTTGAGCAAAAAGCATTTACTGTTGAGTGCAAATTTGCTGTAGTTATGGCCACGAACCTGGGCTGTTTACACCTGGAGGTGTCCAGACCTGCTTGCAGCAGCCAGCTGTCAGCATCGTGGGCTGCTTTCTTGGGAGCTGCAGCCCTAAGGACTGGGAGGTGAGGTGCCCTCAAGTCACCCACTCTTGAAGCTGCTGCATATTTCAGCACTGCTGACTCCTCTTACCAGGGGAGCTGTCAGATCTGCAGGCACTCAGATCTCAATGGCTGTGAAGAACTGGTGTCAAGGATGGTGCTTCAGAGGCCCCCTGAGCAGGGGCTGCAGCAGAGAGTCTGCCTCTGCAGTGCCCTTCCCTGCCAAACCCTCAGGACACAGGGAACAGGTGATGACCAGGGTCATCTGCCCACCAGGCTGGCCAGCAGCACCTGCAGCCATCCTGGGAGGCTGGCCTCCTGCCAAAGCTCCCCCGGGTCACAAGCAGAGAGAGCTTCTCCCCTCCCCTGTGCCACATGCACTGACTTGTCCCTGCAGTGGCCTGTCCCTCAGACACCTGCCCCCTTGCACACTGGCCAGCAAGGTGGCTCCATGGCATGTGCCATGTGCTGGAGTGGCACAGAACTAGCCCTGCCAGTGGCAGAGCATCCCTGGGCGCAGGCTGTGGCTCTCGGGCAGCTGGGTGGGCATAAACCCCTCCTGCTGCAGGGGCAGCACGTCTCTCTCTGACCTGCAGAGTAATCCAGCACTGATCCCTTTGGCAGCAGTGACAAGGGGAGGCAGGAGGAAGGACAGCAATGGCCAGTGGGACACAAGGGCTGTGGGGCTGTGAGCTTTGGAGGGAGGCTGCTAGTTCCCCCAACACCCACTCCTCATACACCAGGAGCAGTGTGGAAGAGCCTGTGGAACACATGGCTGTCAGCTGTCCCCCTTGCCCCCTGCCCTTCCTTGCCATGCCTCCCCTGCCCTGCTGCTGGTGGCAGAGCAGCTGCTGGCACTTGCTTGGCACTCAGCAGGCAGCATGAGGGGGCCAGGAGCCCCCTCCAGCCACAGCAGGAGGGGCTCTCAGAGACAGGGGAGCAACTCAGAAGTGCAGTGGCCTTAACATGTCAGGGCAGGTTGGAAAATAGCGTTTTGTCTCCTCCCCACAGATGTATCCAATTTTTATCCATATTTATCACACCCAGTTGCACAGGGCCTGCCTCGAGAGCTGGGGGCAGGAGTCAGGGCGGTCTGGGAATTTACTTTTTGGAATAAACTTGGAGTGCAAGTGACTCATGTTTCCTTAAAAATATATGTGTGTTTTTGTGTGTTTCTGCCTATCTAAACCCTTCCCAACCTCTCTTCCCCTCCCCCTCCAGCCTCTGTCTAGAGAAGTGAAGGCCAGATGCACTCAGACACATCCAGATGCATTCAATCTTAGCAAATGGGTTACTTCAGTTCACATGTTTAGGTTCCTAGCATGGACAAAGGGGAAGAGACTTGCTTTTTATTTTGGAAAAAATGCTGGGGTTACTCGCTTTTGACCCTGAGGTCTCTTCAAGTAGCTCCCAGGAGTCCCTGCAAGCCTGCCAATGCCCAGGATTTTTCTCTCCACCAGCCCTGAAGGACCCCTGACCACCACAGGAGGATGCAGTTGTCAGCAGCAGGACCTCCCTTGGGCATGTGGATGCCCCTCTCCCTCCTGCAAGAACAGGGACATGGTGGGGGGCAAACTGGAAGGAAGGCCACAGGGCAGGGAGGCAAGCCATCAGCAGGGACAGAGGCCTGGCAGACTGAGAGCATCTTCAGTCCTTGGTCAGGGCTGGACTACACACTCCACAGGAGCTGTAAGGACTAAAATTTGAGGAGGGCTGCTGAAGTCTGTGTGGACTGTTTCTATCTGGGCAACATTTAGCTGCAAGTTCAGTTGTCAACATGTTGCAGAACTCACACCATTACAAGAGGCAAGTCCTCAAGACAGGTCCAGCACCACTCCTCTATGTTTAGGACACGAGCACATTCTCATGTTATGTGGTCATGAATTAATTTCAATACTGCAGCTGCTTCTTCTCCACAGATTTCCAAACATTCTCTCCTATTGCAGAAGTCTAACATCATCAATGCTGTCACTTACTCAAAAATTCTACATTCATTACCTGTTCCTGTTCCTTGTCTTGCAGCACAGAGAAGACAAATTCTCTTCCTGATCACACTAGTATAATTTTTCTGCCCAGAATAAGATCCTCTGTCTCAGAGAGAATTGAAGTCTGAAGGGTGATGTAGCAACCTCTGAAGAGTCTTAACCTGGCTATTTCTTCCTGTCACAGCTTTTCACAAATAAGCCAAAAGGCCACAGTTCCAATAATAAGATCACAAATGCCAGGTGATAAATACTGAGAAGAAACTAAAGGAGAAGGGTATTTAAAAAAGACAGTCAAATTAGTGTGCATTTATTAAGTGGGCAGATTCCACTTAGTATTGTAGATTTCCTCCTGTGTTCCTCCACTGGCTTTGATTTTTTCGAAAATAGAGATCCTTTGTTTTTGCCTCTCCCCACTTGCCACTGTGAGAAAGCACACACTACAGGCAGAAAAGGTTGCTATCTGACTCTGTAGAAGCAGCAGTCTAATTATTCAGCAATGATCTGTGACCATAAAGTAAGCACAGTGAGTAAAGCTAAAACAGGGATGTATTTCAGCTCCTCTTTTAATTAGCCCAGCTGCTGAAAGAGTAATAGGGACATAATTTCTAAAGAGAAGCAAGTGGTTTTAGAGACAGCATTATCCCTTTCATCCTCTTAGCACATCAAAGAGACAAACAGACATAATTTGCACAGTAGTTTATTGGAGGCAAAAAGGTTAACAATAAAGACCTGCACTTTCCTTTATTATTAAGGGTTTGGGGTACATCATTTTCCAAGAGCCCCAGTAAAAGTCTCTTAAAGGGAACATCCCTCTTCCCTTCCAAGGTGTCTTCCTCTTGGCCTCACTGAAATCAAATGGAGAATTTTACTATTCATCACAATGGAGCCACAGTTTCAGCCAGTGCTGCACTCAGAGCATTTCCTGTTGTCAATGTCCACACACCTGAGGCTGTGGGATGAGGCCCAGCTTGCATATCTGTGCAATGGCAGTAGAGCCAAGTAAGAAAGGAGCAGAAAAATGAGATGGAACTAAAGGGTAAGCTGCTACTAGGTTTCATCTCTGTTGAAGCTGTCTTTTCTTTAATGAGAAGTTAAAGAATCCTTTCAGAATTATTACAGAGCTAAACATTCCCTACTAACAGCCTTAGGAAATTGCTCCTTCAAATTCAACTGCTTGTTCCTTTCTTCAAGACAGTAGTTGTTGTTGAGCAGCATGTTGAAAAACAAAGATGAAATCAAACACAAAGGGGCATGTTCTCATCTGTGGAACACAAACTGGTTAAATAATCCCTTCAAAAAGTCATCCTCTATGGACTCAGAGTCGAGAGATGTATCTATCTGTTTGTATCTGGTCTTACTTACACTGCACTGTTACTGCAAATGGCACTTTTCAAAGCGATTTGAAATAATATTTCTTCGAGCTTAAATAGTGTTTGCCAATGTACTGATGGATAAACTGAGGCATGGAAGGATAATTTTCGCAGGATAACAGAATGGACTTGCAGCATAGGAAGTTCCCTCCAAGGACAGATATGGCAAACTGGTTTTTGCTCAATCAGTTGTCTGATCCCTCCACATAGCAGCTACTGTTAGCACAAATACAGGGATGGGAATGGGAAGTCAGGGAGAGGGGGGAGAAAAATGTCCCATCTCAGCAGCAGCAAGGGCTTATATCAGCTTAAAGTGACTGTACTCTAAAAAAATCTTCATTCTTTTAAAGAAGTGGAAGACTCAAGAAATAATTGGTATAATTGGACTTGCTTCAATTCACTTTACTGCTCAGCTACACAGTTTTCCCAGCTCTCAGATCTTCGGAGCAGAAATCCCTTTCCATCTAGCGAGGTATCTATGATATACAAATGCACCATGGCAAAAGACCAGTCAGCTGAATCTGACATTTCACCATGATGAAGTGGCCTGACCCACCCCTGAGGCAACAATGTTGTTGTGCTTGTGAATCTCTTCCTGAATCACCAAAGCTTTGAGCCTGATCTCAGCCCTGGGCATGAAGGGAGGCAGCAGCATCACTGAGGTGAATTGTTGTTGGACTGACACTGCCAACAAGGAGAACACTGTCTGGAGCATTGCCTCCAACTGGTGTCCCACAAAATCCATCAATGACAGCCTCTAGGATCTGACATGCTGTAGGGATTAGGAGGTCTTGCTAGGTGCAGATGTAGGCAGCAAGCATGACTGCACTGCCATCTGAGCCTGAAAATGTTGATCTCACACCTCAGAGTCCTGCTCAGGCTGGACCCAAAGCATCAGGTGAAGTGTTGTGTTGGGCTGTGCCAGGCTTCTGAGCCAAGCAGGTCTTCCCTCCAGCACATGCCCTGGACATTTGTGTGCTTTCCCAACACAGGCATTTCTTGCATGGTTTCCATGGTCTTGAGCTGTTTCCATGTGAGCTGTTTATGCCTGGATTTAATGGGCTTTCCTTCCATCATTAAAATCTCATAAATTAATCCACTGTTTATTTGCCTGTCCAGAGTCTTGTTTGTTCGTTGCAGTTAAATATTTTGCATGGGTTGTCAAGCAGCTTCTTCCGGCTTGTCCCAAAATCAAAGACACAGTCACTGCCTGCAAGCCAGACTGCCTGCTTTGGAAGATTATCAAAGTAAAGCTCACAAAACACCCCACAATTATCTCTGCCACAGCTGGCCGAGGCCTTGCTTTCAGCATTTTACTCAGTCAATAAATCTTCCCCCACTTTTCTCTGCCTCATTCTCTTCTGTTTTGCGGTAATAATGGCCAAGTGTGTGGGGGGGAGCTGCCAGTGGCTGCCCATCCCCAAACACACAAGGGGGAGCAGGGTTATGCCTCTGCCTCCCTGGAGCACAGGCTGAGCTCAGCCACACAAACAAACATTGCTTACACACATAAGTGACTCTCTGCATATCCCTCTTAAACCTCTGAGGCAAAGGTTTTATTTGCCTTTTTTTCAGTAGCCCAGAGGAAAAACAAAAGAGATCCTGCTATTATTAAAGGGATGCATAAACTCTTAAATCATCTTTATTTAAAGAATAGCTTCTACGGAACCTCAAAATAATAGATTCCATGATTTCTGTGAAGAAAATCCTAGAAAGACTACTTAAAAAAATCTCACATCCACATATTTCCTTGTCAAGGCTATATAAATTGCCCAAACTGCAGAAAATGAGAACCTGAAAGGGAATTAAATCATCAGTGAGTCAAAAGATAGTTTTCTAGACATTTTTGTTGTCTAAGCTGAGACAAAAGAAGTGAGCAAAAAGCATTTCTAGGTGGCAGCAAGTATATTTCTACAATTTTTAAGGGCCAAGATCAGCTGCTCCCTTCTTAACACTAAACATTACCTCAAGGTCAACTTATTCTACAAATACACACGTTTGATCCACCAAGAATAAGTGCGGCCTCTGCTTTTTGGCTCTGTTGTGTACACAAGCTCAACATATGAAAATAAATATTCATATGCACACATTCACACTCTCTACCTACATGCAAATACATATGTAATATTTTAGGGAAGAATAGAGTAATTTAGGTTGAAAGGGACCTCTGGATGTCACATGGTCCAGCCCATCTCTCGGTGCTAACTTGAAAGTTGTGTAGCTCACAGCCTTACCTTGCCAGGATGTGAGCTCCTGCAAGGATGGAGACATTCCTTTGTCACCCCAATGTAAGTTTGCCTGTGAGTACTTGCAACATTTTACAGACAAAAAATTCTCTTGAATAGTATATCCACTTATTAATAGGCTTTAGCAAGCTTGAAGTAAATTAGATTTCTATCTTGAGTTAGGAAAAGAATGAGAATTTGAAGGATTTGAATGAGAATTTGAAGGATTGAGAGCTTTACAAAAGCTCTGAGTGGTGGGTAGTTATTTATTAGTCAGACTTTAAAGAGTGCTGCTTCAGGAAGGAGTGAGACCCCCCACCCCATACACCAGAGACACAGCTATTGTCTGCCTTGTATGGTGAAATGTATCAAACTGAGTGTCAGTTCACGGAGATAATTAGATGTGTGTAATTAATTTTCTCTGGAATCTGAATCAGATACAATTCATAGATAAAAGGCTTAATTAAAAGGGAATAATAGCCATAGGTTAAGAAGCCCCAGCCTGGCCAGGATGATTGACTGCCATTCTGGAAATTAGAAGGCATGAGCTCAATTCCCCACTCTACCATTGTTTTTCCCTGGGACCTTGAGCAAAGTCACTTCACCTCCCTTGTGCTTCATTTTCCCATCTGGAAAGAGAACTTTGTAAAGATCTACAGGCAAAGGGGTCTATAACTGCTGAACAATAAGATTATTTCAATGCAAGATTCCACTACTGGAATAAAAAACATACAGAATCTTATTGGATGGAAGGAACAGTTTTTCTTTTTGTAATGATTATAGGGGCAGAGAGGGGGGATGGAAAGGTTTCATCACAAACAGCAGCCTCTTTCCTAAACTTAGAGCAGCAGTGGACTCTCCCTGGTCAGTACACCAGGCACAAGGGAAAGGCTCAGCTCTGAGGAGCACAAAGGGCTGCATTTAATTTCCCAGCCAAAGCAGGAAAAAAAAAGGAAAAGAAGAAGAAACAGTTTGGTGGTCCTTTTTTATGGAGTCAGTAAAAATCATTAGAGGAGAAGATAAGCTTCCAGCAACCAGGCTTCATGAGGTCATGGAGAGTCAAGTGAGACAGAGCAGCAAGGCTCAGTGGTGGGGAGCTCCAGCAGGCACAGTAATTAGGTTATCAGTGACAATGAAACAAAAAGCCAGTCGTGTGAGAAGGCAGACAGGTACAGGCATGGATGGGAGTGTTTCACCTTAGAGATATATGGCTTGTTTCATGACAAGGCAACCCTGTTACTCAGAGTTTAATACTCAAGGAAAAAGGTTGTTACCTAACCACAATTAAAAAAGAAAAAAGGAAAAAAAAAAGAAAGAAGAGGAGGATAGAAGGGGAAAAAAGAGCTAGTCTCATTAAGTTTCCTTCATGTCTCATCTTTCTAGTCTGCTCTCTCTTTTTACTATCAAACTCCATGAAAGCAGTCATCAGGGCTGTCAGCTGCTTAGAAGGCATGCTGACAGCTCTGTGCACTCCTTGGATCTCTCTTTGTAGAATTTAGACAGCACACTGGTGGAGAAAGACAGGATCTGCACTTACTGTGGCAGTCCTGAGTCACAGTCTGAGGTTGTTTCTTAAAAGGGTACTTCCAGCATAGCTTAGATATCATATGAGGTTATGCTAAATAATAAAAAGATTACCATATTAGAAATGCCAGGCAAAATGAACCTTTAAAAATAACAAAAAAAATCTTGTTTCCTTTGACAGTGAAGTCAAATGTAACAACATGTGCTTCTGGGTGAAAATAGGGAGTAAAACCAGCTAAAATCCAACTTTAAAAATGGCCTTTTCTGGTGGGCCCCCTAGTTTTCAAGAATAGCAAATTCACAAGCAGAAATACAACCAAAACATGCTATCATAGTTTAAATAATCTGTGCTATAGATGATGCTTTAAATCAGTCCTGCAATCTGAAGAAACTTTCTCATATGATATCATCCTCTGTGTTTTCTTAAAGCTATTTTTCTCACCACAGAAGTGGGCAGGCCTTGCAGAGAAAGTGAACATATTCCTTCCCTCTGTCTGTTTGCTTCCTCTGGCTGGCACTGTGAAACTCCTGTGTGTTCCTTAGACATGCAAACCATGCTGACATTTCAGGTGCATGTTGCCGCGTAGTTTGGGTGTTTCTGGGCTGAAGACCTTGGCCAGCCTCATGGCATCCATGATCTGATAAACCACTGGACAACAGATCCCGCCAGTCTTCATCAGATAATGGATTGTTTCTGTGTGTCCTCCTCTCTGTTCCCTGCAGAGTACACAGTGATCAATGAAAACTGCCCAGGAGCTGAGTGGAATATCATGTGTCGGGAGTGCTGTGAATACGACCAAATCGAGTGCATCTGTCCAGGACAGAAAGAAAGAGTGGGCTACACCATTCCCTGCTGCAGGAATGAGGATAATGAGTGTGACTCCTGCTTAATCCACCCAGGTATGTTTGTGGCCATGCTGTGCTCACACCAAATCTTTGGCCAAGGCATCATGGCAGATGCTGGGCAGGGCAGTGGTGAACAAGCACATCTCACTGAGGCATGGGATTGTCCTGCATTTCCTTCATCTGCCAGCTGACAGCAGCAAGACACTTGGCAGGGTTCCCTCAAAGCAGGTAGCATCACTTGCCAAAAAACCCAACACTTTCTACTTGCAGTGTTGTCAGGATGTCTTGGGCAGGCTTGGAAGCTGCCAAAGGGTGACACGATAGCTGGCTTCACACCAGGAGTGTTTTAGTGGTACTCTTGGTTGATTTGCATCCCCAAAACAAAAAAGGAGAGATAACTTGGAAGTCCCACAAGCAAGGTGGAAAAAGAAAAGTGAAATGCGATAGGAGGAGGGAGCAGGAGGAGCTAGGACCAGTTTAGAAGTCATCAGAATCATTTAGGCTGGGCCCAAGTTGCATCAGCACACACATTCAGATACTGAGAGAGGCGTTTACACTTGGAGCAATGAGATTTAGAGGTTTGGGCAAGTCAGACCAGGAGTTTGGTTCCAAATCTCAGAGTCTGAGCTGCCTAGGGCGTAGAGGTTGGGTATGGTTCCCAGCGGGAGAGCTGTCAGCACCTCTGCAATTAATAACGTCATTGGCATTTTCTGTGGAAAAGACAGACACTGCTCCTCTTCCCACAGGACAATCCACCTTGGCTTTCATCTAACACAGTGGCTCTCTTTTTAGGCTGCACCATCTTTGAGAACTGCAAGTCCTGTCGCAATGGCTCCTGGGGAGGGACACTCGACGACTTCTACATCAAGGGAATCTACTGTGCAGAGTGCAGAGCTGGCTGGTATGGAGGGGACTGCATGAGTAAGTGTCCTGCACAGGCAGGGAGGGATGGCAGGGACAGGGAGTGGTGGGACAGAGCCAGGGCTGTGCTGTGCCTTTCCAGCTATTCCTGCACAGCGACTCTTGCAAAGGCCACGAGCAGGAGAAGGCAAACACAACCAGGCAGTAAGCAGATCTACAATTAGGAAAAAACTTCTCTCCTAGCGCTTGTTTGAGAGGAATTGGACTGGGCCTCATGTCATGGTGGATTAGAACCCTACTAAATGTCTGTTTGGGTTTGGTTTATTTTAAAACTTTAACTACCGTGACTCCGGAAATCTTCTGTAATCTGGATTTCTTGGACTCACGTCATCATAGCCCCTGAGCATAAGCATAAACATTTACAAGGGCAACAGCTTTATCAAAAAGAGCTTACCCTCTGTCCTCCTTCAAGCCCTGCCAGACCCAAGGATATCCCAGGGTTTCCTTCCTCTGCCACACATCTTCAACACACTTCAAGGTGCCTCTAGAAAACACTGTCTTGTAACTTCTGATTATGTCACAACAATGAATGTTTCAGGCCCCAGCAGCAATATCTAAAGGTTTTGTTCCTGACAGTGTACAAAAGCTCCGGCTTTTTAGTTTGCTAAATTGTTAATCCCAATTCTGTCTTTCAATAATGAATTCCATCAGCTAACTGTGTAATGTTTAAGACTGGTATTTCCTTCACCAATTTCCCACCAGTGAAGGTGAAGCTCTCTTTCCATTTTTATTGACTGTCTCTTTGTTCATATTTCACTGGAAGGGATAAAAGCAGAGTCTGCTTTCCCTACTCTGTTCTGTCTATTGGGCTATATACCTTAGGCTTGTGTGCTCTTAGTCATTGATTTTAAAGCAACAATTTAACTTGCTTTCACAACACTGCCCATGACCATTCAGGAGGTGAAAGCATATAAAATAAAATCATTGCTTCAAATAGCAGAATGTGGGGAATCAACATGCTTCAGCAACAGACCTATCTCAGCTTTGAGGCTTTGGAAGTTGATCAACTGAGTCTCCTGCTGTTTACGGTGTGATATCTGAGAACACTTTAAAGTCCCATTTTCTCTAGGTGCACGCTAGAGCTTCTCTGGAATTTTCTTTAAAAGAAGAGCCAAGAAATAGTCATTAGCTCATCTAATTTTTCCTCCATCTGCCTGAATATATTGGTTGCCCACAGTATATCTCAGTTTATTCTTCCCACTTGTATTGAAGCAAACACACCTTCACACAGAGGTCTATTTGGATATTTCTGCAGTACTGAAATTTTGGACAGCTTTGTCTTATAACGTTTTTCTTACTACTTGCTCTTTTAAGGGACCCAGTGTGACACTGAGGCTGTGTTCTCTTTCATGTGGTTCTGTGGTGGGGTGAGGTGGGGTAGGAAGGTCAGACAGTGCTGTTGCCTCTTCCACTGTTACATGGGGACACAGAGGATAGTTGTGACGCCAGCACATCCTGAGCTCCCCTTTTGTGGCTATCTCAATTTTGGCCTTGATGGTAGGCTCAGGCATGGAGAAAAGCGCGTGTCTGGAAAGCAGCCCATAACCATGATGGGTGCCGGATGCCGGACTGCGCCTCTCGGCGATGTGGCTTTGGGTCTGAAGGGCGGCCAGCAGTAGCCTTGGAATGCCCGCAGGCACAGGCTGCTGGAGCCGTGGATGTGCTAGCACACCTCAGCTGGGAGAGCACAGGAGGAGCCATCTCTCTTTGGTACCTGCATACGGCATCACAGCTCAAACTTTGCAGCCAGCCCTCGGTGCCTCTCCAGCGGCAGAGGGCCAAGAAATCCCAGAATCACAAAGAAGCGCCAGCACGGTAATAGCGGGATGTAAAAAATCTGCCTCCTCCGTCCTACACTGCCAACGCCAGCGCTGCCGGGCACGGCGTGGCCCTTGCGGGCGGGGGGCGGCGGCAGCTCCCGCCGGGCTCTGTCTCCCTCTCGCGGGGCCGCCGGGCGTTGCCACCGTGCGCGCCTGCAGGGCCGGGCCGGGCCGGGCCGGCGGGGAGGGCGAGCGCCGCTCCAGCCGCAACGCGCCAGGCCCGGCGGGCACTGCAGCCCCGGCCGCCACGGGCCCCGCAGGCACCGGCAGCGGCCCGCACGGGCGGTAGGGGGCGGCCGGGGGCCCGCGGAGGCCGCGCCGTGAGGCCCCGGTCATCCCGCGGGATGGGCGCCGGAGGGGAGCGCGGGGCATGCGGGGGATCTGCGGGCAGGATCAGTGCCTGTACGCGGCGGGGGGAGCGGTGGGGCACGGTCTGGATACCTCCGGGGGAACACTGAGGCCCAGCCCGCCGCAGCGCTCCAGGGGCTGAGAGCATTGGCCAGCGCAGGGTGAGCCCCCGGGAGGGATCTGTCGGAACTGCCAGCAAAAGTAGCGAGGATACAGGGCCATGGCAAGGAAGAAGTACCACGGGATGGCCTATGGGTCTGTCCAGTTTGTAGTATCTGCTGGCATAGCTGGAAACATGGGTATGGCTGAAAACCCGCCAAAGCATACCAGATCATTTAGTAAAAACATAAATTACATAGGGTAGGCCAATGAAGTACTATTAGGAAATAAGCACACTGACTAGATTTAATTGGGTGCTAGGATATTTCCTAATGGGACTTCTCTTGGATTGAATCATCATGACCCAAGAGGCACATCAGGCTCTGAAACCGGAAGAAAACCAACCCTGCAGAACTCTTTCCTCTGTACCCTGAACTCCAACAGTTTTTGCCAGCCCCAAGTTGTAATGTCACTTCAAGGCACATGCTCCATCAAAGCAGGGGAGAAAGTGGTGTTTTCTAACAGCTGTTCTCAGCTCTGCTGTCCAAATGTGGACCCGGTGCCAGACAAGAGTACTTGTGGTTTTTGAAACTTTCTGAACATTACTGTTTCACATAATACTGGTGACCAGCAACCAACAGGAAGCAACAAGTTGTGACAAGTGACAGCTGCCTTCCCATATCAGCCTGTTTCTGAATAGCAGAAACCTTTCTACTGTCTTTCTCCTCTTTTCAGTCATCCTGACTTTTGAAGGAGCCTCACATCTGAGATGCAGCACTCAAACAGATGATAATGTGTTCTTACCAAAGGTCGTCTCAGGACCTCTCCCTCCATAGACCCATGGGTCTCTGTGGGCTACAACTCAGAGGTCTCCTGAATTTTTTTATTCTCTGTTAGTAACAAGCCTTGGAGGAAATCTTACTGTGGCCCTGAAAGCTGCCTTTTTTTCAGGAACAGGAACGGAACAAGGATGTTGATACTCTGCCAAAGTGGTTTATTTTTTTGTAAATGAGGCAGAATTTGCCAGCATTTGTGTTTATGATGTAAATTATTTTTGAGGGCTTTCCAGGTCTCCTGCAGATTTAGAATAGGAAAAGACTCCTTTTGATCAACATATGATTGAACTGTTGGTCTGGGGAGTCAGCCTAACTTCTGCTAGAAGCGCTGGAGATTAAAGAGCACAGATTTGATGTGATCGCAAAGGTGCTTCGTGCAGAGAAGGGTGGGAGCAAACCTGAGAACATTCTTTTGGAGAGGGTCACTGAATGGCTCCTCTTTAGTCTCTGGACCACCTGCTTTGCTGGCCAAACCTACTTCCTCGGCGCCAGTGTTCAGAGAGTTCAGGCTGTACCACAGCAAACAGAGAAGTGTGTTTAGTATGCCGTGCATACGAGTATCTCTTTGCACCAGTTCTTTGGCTTTCCTTTGTTAAAGGCATCGAAAACTCAAAAGCCCTTCAGGACGAAAGGGAAACTTTCTTTGAGGTGGTCCAAGCCCCCTGTCAAACCCTCTGAAGATTTCTAGCAGCTTTGTCCCAGGTTGTTTTTGAGGCAGGAGCCAATGGCAGCACAAGGGCCTGTTTCTTGCTGTGGGAAGGAGCATTATCATTTTCACCACAGCAGATCCTGCTGTACTCATTGAATCCTAATGTGGTTGCTGGGCACACTCATTAATCCTTGCCTTTTACAGAGGGAACTGAGCGAGCCACAGAAGAGGATGAAACACTTTTGAGGAACTCTTCTGAGCGGGATTTCTGTTTCCTTGGGTCCTGCTTAATTAAGGGTAACCGAGGGTAAATGAACAAAGGGTATTTCATTTGAGCAACACTTTCTTAAGAAGAAAGAGGGGGAATTGACCTGCAGTCTTCATGTTTCCCCATAGACCAGATGCAGCAGGATTGATTTCCAGACACTATGATCAATGGGAACCACAGATGCTCAGTACTTCACCAAATCAGGTCACTGTCACCCTTTCTCCCTTGGGAAGGAAGGGCCCGGAGGCGAGTGTTAAAACCCTCTGTTTCAGTCGGAAACATTCATCCTGCGTTACTGGTTAAAAGCTTAGGGTTACTCTAGGGAAACAGATGGAAGCAGCAGAGCTTCCTGTTAGACTGAAGAGGTAAAAAGAAGTGAGAGAATTGCTGTGGAGGTCTTTTGGGTCATTCAACTTTTTGCTTATCCTCATCTGAGGTGTGTAGGCTCTTCTGATTAGGTGACACTGTTAGACTGAATTGCAATTTTTGTCTTGCAGATACAGCCTCATACTACAGCAAAGCAACAGAAGGCTTACCAGGGGAGGTAGCCATGTGCAAGACTCCACTCAGAAAGATGTAGCCAGGAAAGTAGGAACTGAAAAATTAGCTCTGTCTGATACATAGTGACTTAACTGTGCATTTTGCTAGGACATGCATGTGCAGATCACAGTAAGCTCTGAAAAAAGTCACTAAACAACTTTGAATCTTCCACAGAGGAAAATATAATTAACCATATTTTATAGCTGGGGAAAAGGGAGAGGTTACGGAAGGTGAGAGAACTCTCTGGGCTAAAAATGTTCAGCATTCAAGATGAGGAATTAGGACAACTATCCCTGGACAGATGCCTAGGGACAGCTGCAGGATTTTCATGAAAAGATATTGCTCCCCCGGTGTGACCTTGTCTGCTGTTTGTTCAGCTCATTGTCCTCTGATGGTTTTCTTAGATTGGGCACAAGTGACTGGAGCACTTCATTTTATCCTGATGGTGCTGAAGTACATTCCATAGTATGGTGAAAAACTGAGAGCAGCACAGGCAGAGTGGAACAACACTAGAGGAAGGATAAGAATGAACCTGAAAGAAGAGATAAGGGCTGTATATTCTATATGTGTCACACTGAGTCATCAGTGTCACGCTGATGATAGGAGGAGCTGTGATGTTTATATATCTTCATTGGCATGGTGGCATTAACATGCAAGGATGATGTAGTGAATCCTGAGGACAAACTTGTCCTCTACAAATATATCAGCTCTTTTTCCTCCTAGAGTCTCCTTATGAGGGACTAGCAACCATGACGTTGGGTACAACAGATTTTTTCTCTCATTCTTTTGCTTGAGCTAATTCAGGTGTTCGTTGTAGTTGTGTCACTTTCCCACCAGCTTCCTCAGTTTCAATGGTTGCAAATGTCAGCATGGACTCCATCAAAACTGTTCTGAGCTGGAGCATCAGCCAGGTGTGTAGGTGGGCTAATTAACAGAGAGGCAAAAACTGCAAGAAATGGTTTCATGAAGTTGCATTGCAAACCAGGGATAAGCCATCAACTGCAATTTTCCTAGGGGTACTCTTAGCCTAGACAATACTCCAATATAGTCATAACTCTTTACAGCCATTGTGTGGCTGTCCCAGTATTTTATACACTGCCTTGTAAGAAAGAGTGTATCTTCCTAAGCCACCCTGTCATCCCCTTCTGGTGTTATTTCTACTTATATTTTCTTCAAATGTCTCTTGAAGGTCCTTCACACAATTTTTTTTCTTCTTTTTCTCCCCAGGGTGTGGGCAGGTTCTTCGGGCCTCCAGAGGTCAGATTTTGCTGGAGGGTTACCCACTGAATGCACGATGTGAATGGACAATCCATGTTCAAGCTGGATTTAACATTGAGTTAAGGTGCGTCCTGCTGACTTTTAGCCAGCTCTGATTTCAGGTGGACATTGGGGTGTGTGGGTAACCAAGAGTCAAAGAGAGTCAGCAGCTGTGAGCCCTGGGGCAGTGAAGGTATAGCAACCACTTTGCTTTTGGTACCACAGCTCTTTCCCCTGGTCTGGCTTGTGATGGACAGGCTCTGGACAGATTAGTGCTGTGTTTTCAATTCCCATTTAGGACAGATAGATGCTGAGGAGAGTTTCTCAGGCATTGGGCACAATGTGTCTCTTTAGAGGTGTTTTCAAGACCTTGACAGCAAAGCACCCAATATTTTCTGAACTAAGCTGTACCAGGCTGAACTAAGACATTCTTTGAAGAAAAGATATAAGAATGTTTTAATATAATGTCTCATGCAAGGAGAGAGTTGCCCATGAGTTCTACCTTGCATTTAGCCTTCATTTTCCCTCTTTTTTTTTTTCCACTGTTTTCACCAACCATGTTTTCTATCAGCCTCAGTTATTCCTCTCACCATTCCTATGCTTGGAGGATGTGATTTGTTCTCCTCCAAGTCATAGAATCATAGAATCACAGAATTAACTAGGTTGGAAAAGACCTTTGAGAAGATCGAGTCCAGCCTGTGACCTAACACTACTTTATCAGCTAAATCATGACACTCACTGCCACATCCAGTCTTTTTTTCAACACCTTCAGGGATGGTGACTCCACCTCCCATTCCAATGCCCCATCACTCTTTCAGTGATTAATTTTTTCCTAATGTCTAGCCTAAACTTCCACTCACACAGCCTGAGTCCTATTGTCCTCTCATTGCTCTTCTGAGCTGTGTATGCTTGGACCTGTTAACCAACCCCTAATGCCTCAAGCTCACAGTTCCTGCCTAGTGCAGGAGAGCCTCTTGTTGGGGTAATTAATAATGTTTCCAAATGTACACAGCAGGGTGCTCACACATGGAGCGGGGGCGGGGGGAAGTATGGCAGGGGATGGAAACAAACTAGCTAATATAATAAAAAGAATAGCTTCACACTTCACATCAATATTTCACCGACTTTGGAGCCCAGACAAAAGAACTATGCTAGATACATAAACAGTTAAAATACGTTTAAACAGTTTAAATATGTTTGAAGAGAAACTTAATGGGAGGAAGAACAACAAATCAGTTGAAAAGAGCTTGTGGTTTTCCCACACTAATGCACTTTTTTCAGACCTGCAGATGCAAGCCTGTTGTGTAGTTATGAGCTGTTATTGCCTAGGTAGCATTGTGTAGAAGACACAGGAAGAATGCTGTGAGGAAGAGTGTTCTGTGCACATGACACAACTTTGCATCAGTGTCAGTCAGCATGGATTGTACCTGCCTTCTTTTTAAGAGATATTGTTGGTGAGGTGTATGATTTGCACAGCCCAAGCTTAGGGAGGTGATATTTTTCTACATTTCTGAAAAGGGCTTTGTTAATTAGAAGGCTTAAAAAGTTCTTTAAGAGCTACAGGTATCACCCTGTCTTTGCTGTTGAGGGGATGGATGTGTGAGAGTGGAAATAGATCCTGTGCATGCATGTAATTATTGAATTACATGCAGAGACCTATCTCTGAGTGAAGTTTTACAGCCAGATGGCATCAGGCACAAGATGCAAGAAGGGGACCAGAGGTTATTTTAACAAAGAACACTATATTGAAGAGCAGAACTTGCTGTGGCTGCACAAAGGAGACTCTACTCTGTTTTCAAAGCAGTAGAATGGGGAGTGCTGTAGTTAACAGATGTACTAACTCTTTGGAGAAATCAGACTTCCACTCTTGACCCTGAGGGCCACCCACATGCAGACTTGGAAGATATGTCACATGAGATCCATACAGTTCACTGTATGGTTCACAGTTCACTGTTCAACTTTGCTGTTACAGAAAAAGGAAAACTTTAACACAAGAGTGCCTTTCTCTTCCTTGCTATGTCCATCCTTCCTTCCTGCAATCAAATAAACATAATACTAGGTATCACCCTGATGTGAAATAATGTTACGTTTCAACTGTGAAGGTCTCCAAGAGGGAAGCCTGAACTACCAAACTTCTGTTGTCAGCACCTAATTTATCTGAGCTGGCTAACGTTGGAGAATCCTAAAGCCCTTTGCCTAGCCTGATGATGAGTCTAATGTCTGAATGCCTAGAAATCTCAGCAGATGACATAGCACTCCCAGTGAAAGATCAGGAACTCTCCTGAAAGTCCACACTTAACCCTGCCACCCTGCAAGTCCTGCAGGAGTCATAGAGGAAACCTTCTTGGCAAAGATAGAACAGGAGGTCCTCACAGCAGGTAACCCTGTAGTGTGTTGTGAGTCAGTTGACATCTTCAAGATGCACCACCTCAGAGCTGTCCATTGAGGTATTTCAGCAGTTAGATATTGTGGAAAACATGTACATTTAATCTAAAACTTCACCTTTAGGCTACTCCTACACAGAAGGGCAGGTTTACCTAAGCTAAGCAACAGAGCTTGCCTCCTGGGTCTGCCATCCATGTTTCCTTCACTGTATTTTCATATAAACGTGCTGATCCCCTCTGTGGGTGGTAACTGCTTAGAGCTGTAATGCACAGCCAACACTGTGCTGAATCAGCACAACTGCCAACAAAAGAACTCCTTTTTTCATTCTCTCTGTGCACAAATCCTGTTTGCTGCCACTCTGGCTTGCAAGGGCAGGGATGGGGGTGATACAGAAGGCGAATAAAGTGGTTGTCTTTGCTTACATAGGGCAGGAAGAGTAAAACTCCCAGGAGCACAGATAAATCTTCCCTTGCTTTAAGCTGTGCCATGCAGTCCTTTAGGGGTTGGCTCAGTAGAGTTGTTTTGATAAATAAGTGTCCATGTTGTGGTGGTAGTTAGTTTTCTCTGCTTTGTTTTGCCAGCCTTGGGGTTTTTTTTTTGGGTTGTGATGTACAGGCTCCCTCAGCCTGAGTCATGTCAAGGATGTCGTATCACAGTGGAAGTAGTTCACAACTTCCAATTATTGTCTTTAGTGCCTCAGCAGAGGCACAGTTTTAAATATGTCCTTTGGCTAGAAGCTTTCCTCAGATGGGTTGGCCAATGTGTCCGCTGCAGCCACTGATGAAATCAAGACAATACTTTTCATTTCATTTTATATCTGATGACCTGCAGCACAAAATTAGCATGCTGAGTTTTATAATATCCAAGAGAATTATGATATAATTACGCTTTCACTGGTGAGGAAACTGAGGTCTGTTGAATTGTGTGTACCTGAGGCTTAAACAGCAATAGACCTCACGGTCTGTAAAGGGTCCTGTCAGCTGGGCCATGGCCAAGAGGTTTTTAAAAGCTTTGGCAGGTTTCCTGACCTGCCAATTCTGAGTCTTAATCACAGGATCCCATGTCGTCAGTACAGTGTATCTGCTTCTTTGCCAAGTTAAATAAAATGCAAGTCAGAACTCCTATGCCTTTCACATTTTCCACTCTGTTTTCATCATTTTTTGAAACAGAGAAAGCAAACAATTAAAACCAGTATTCTGTGTATGAATCTTTCATTCCCTGTGCCTATGTCTTGATATTCTTTGTTCAGGGACACGCATCAAGAGACAGTTTACCTTTACATCTATACATAATACTGGGCATTCCAGAAATTTTCCTTCTGTATTTGCACACATACTTAATTTTAATCAGAAATGTACCAGTTCAGAAAACCAGAAAGTATTTTTAGGATTGGGCCAGGATAAACTGTAGCCTGATAAGTGTTACAAATATGAATGGGTTAATTTGTATTGCTCTGTAACTTCCATAAGGGTAGATCCCTGGGGTATGTTTCACCAGTGAAAGAAGGTTTGAAAATGTAGTGTATAACCTGATACGTGTGAGGATGTCTCTGACAGACCTGACAGAACTAGAATTCAACTCATGCATTTTATGCAAAGCAAAGTTGAATTATTTCTCTCTAATGCATATTTAAAGCAGATGTTTTGTTTTTTCTTCTACATTCCATCAGATGATTTAAAACAATTAGGGGCTCTACTCCATTGGTGCAGCTTCCTACAACTGCTCAGCCATTTCTCTGTAGGTAGTGTACTCCTGATGTTCAAAAATCAGCCATGTAACCTGAACAAAGGTGACTGAGTGAAGAGGCCTCTTAAGTCAGCTCATGAGTTGTCAAGGGAAGGTAGAGGAACATGGAGCCCTCCTTAACATGGGCGCCTGAGTCTCAAGATAAGGATAGTATGAAACAGGCTCCAGAATTCTCTTCCCTTCAGACTGTGAGGTCCAGGAGCAGATCCAAAATTTGTCTCACCTCTTTGGTGTGAAAATGCAGTCTTTGCAAACCGCGAGGCCCACACTGGAATAGGCAATGTGGGGGATACAGCCTCATCCTAAATGCACATCTGCAGTGTTAGGAGTCTTCAGGAAGATGGAGTACATAATGATTTTCATTTTTAAAATATCCTGCTGAACAGTTAGTAGCACAGCCTCTCCCAGGTCCATTTCTCCTTTTCCTGCTGTACCAAGGCTGAGCCCAGCCCCCTGACCATTGCACATTCTCCAGAGGCACTATGGTGTTGCTCCTTCTGTTTCTCGTTCATATTCTGGTGGGGTGCTTTGGCTCTGTGCCCACCTGAATTCCAGTGGCAGCATATAGCATGGCTGTTAATGAACAAAAGCCTTGCACAGTGGCTGGATCGAAGCTAGGAAAGGACAGACATTGTGGGAAAAGGCTTTAAGTATTTCCCTTCTGCACTAATTCCTGTGCCTTATTTCTGCTCTCAAAAGACAGGCAAGTGCCACACATTGGGGATTTACTACCATTTTGCTTTCTAATGCAAAACGTGCTCTAGTATTTTGATTCTGTTTCTGTGGCTGTTTCTGCTTCTGTTACATACCCAAGCTCTCCTTGTATCCCTAATTGCTGACTTCTGAATGTAGATAGCTTTTGAACCTTGTTATTTTATACTGTACCTTTCAGTACTTAGAACTTTATTTAGGCCAAATAGAACATTTTTTAGTGAACAATGACAGTAGAAATATACCCTCTGCAGTGCCTGACCCTGGATGAAAGTTCTGACATTGTATTATGGTTAGGGACCTAATGCACATGTATAGACTGTATGACTTCAACTTGGACTTCACTGTTCTGATACTTGTATATTCTCATGGAGCAACTGTATAGAGCTGAGCCAGCTTCTAGGGGTCATGATGCAAAAATTGAGATGAGTGAGGGGTCTTTGTGTGGTTAAGGGCATGTTGATTCACTGAGGGGGTAGGCCCTAACTACCTAAATGCCCAAATAAATAGTATTCAGGGTACCCAGGTAAATGTCTGACTGTTTGTTCTTGTTCCCCAAGATTTTCCATGCTGAGCCTGGAGTTTGATTATATGTGCCAGTATGACTATGTGGAGATTCGTGATGGGGACAATTTGGACAGTCGAATAATAAAGAAATTCTGTGGAAATGAGAGGCCACCTCCCATCCGAAGCACTGGGTCTTCACTCCATGTCTTCTTCCAGTCTGATGGATCCAAGAACTTTGATGGATTTCATGCTGTCTTTGAAGAAATTACAGGTAACCTAGTCTAAAAGTGGAGCATGCCACTCATTCTCATTAATTCAATTTCACTAATCTCTCTGCCTGTTTTGCTTCATTAAAAACTTTCATGCTGTGTTGCCAACAGCAACTTACATAAAGTCAGTATGGGGAAGATTCAAAAGCTGTCAGATGGCATGTGAATGTGAGGCTCTTCTAAAAAAGACTGAATTCCTTCTACTTGTGTGAAGAACAAGCACATCAGCCAGCAGAGAAAAGCTGCTGTTTTGTGTGACTTTTCTGTTTGAATTGAAGAATTAAGAGCACAGAGGAAGTAGAGGAAGGGACATGTGTATCTGCAGTGGCAGAACTGCTCAATGCTGTATTCAGGGGCAGAGTCATTGTCTCAAGCAGCAAAAACCTGATGCAAAGTCTCATAGATAGTTCAGTGAAAATCCCCTGTTCGCAGTGAAAAGCCAACATCTTGTGTTGGCTCATGTACCATTAGGAATTAAAAAACCCCAACCAACCAAGACCAAAACAAACAAAAAATTCCCAAGTGTGTACACAGAACAAATTATTTTCTTTAAGAAAAAAATCAAGAGGCGTTTCCCATTCTGTGATGATCTCAGTCTTATGAATGACAGAAGTGGGGCTCCAGAATTACTGGTTTCATTACTACTCAGTGCTTCAGTCCCCTACCTTGCTTTCCATAGTTTCAAAATAGCACTGAAAGTGTAGCTAGCTTGTCATTTTGCCATTGGATTTGCAGCAGCCTCCACGCTCATCCTGGATCTTCCTTATTTAGCTATGTAAGGAATTTTTGGTCAAATCTATCTACAGAACTCCTGGCACAGAAGACTAATCAGACTGTGCTGTTTTGCCATAGATAAACCCTGCAGGATCTATGACTCACCATAACTTGCTTTCTGTACACCCTGGTGACCCACATTTCATGAGGTCATCCAGGGTATATATGGCTCAGGAAATTTAGTTGGTTTATATAACCCTTACATAAATACACAAACCTAGCTCTTAACAATGATCAGAGGTGTATCTAGCAATATGAAATGTTCATACTTCTGGATGTAGCTCCTATGCCATTTCTCAGCTTGCCCTGCTCTTCAAATGTCACCTTTAGTACCTGTTAGCTATTGATAGTTTGCCTGGGCTTACAGCAGCAGAGGTGATATAGAACAAATGAGTGTGGCGTGGGCTATGTTGCATAAGGGCTGCCTACACTCAGGGAACTAACATTTTCCATATGGTGCAAGCTGAATTGGTTCTGTTTTCTCTGCCCAGCAGGGAACACTCGGTATTTGAATATTGTGGAGCACTTTATTTCCGCCCCATTTTGAGTGGTAATTATTCTGAGGCTGTGAGGCTGCAAGTGTGGTAATCCACACAGAGCACATTGTAAAGGGCTTCTCAGAGTTTGTGAGGAGCTCTATTTGTGCACTTTGTTATGAGGCTGTTCTGGTCTAATGTGTAGTGCAGTGAAAGGCTTTTCAAACACTCCCAGTGTCTTTTTATGTGAAGCACTAACCTGGCCAGCAGGACCATTTAAGGGAAGAATAGAGTGTGCATGGGGCAGCATAGAATTGAAAGTGGGAGCAGCACAGGATCGAAAGCTCTGGCAGCACATTGAAAACTGAAGCATTTGCCCTGAAATTTCTTTCTGTGCACAGCACTGTGGAAGAGCCAAGGTCCCCAGAACAGATTTCACGGGGCTTACTAAAGCAATTCCCTATGCTGCAGGTGGGAGCAGCAGCAACAGAGGTGCTTACAGGATGTGGACTAGGAAATGAAGGTGATCTGGTGTCCCCCAGCACCTTAGTGGTGTAGTGGAAAGGACTGAAGTCTGTCAAAAGTGAATTCCTTCTTTTTCTGCCTCCTCTTCCTGTGAGCTCTGTACTGGCTTAGAAGCCACAGTTTACTGAAGCAGGGGCACTGACTGCACAGAGATCACTGGTTCAGATTCCAGAAGGATCTTGATTGATACAAAATAAGCTGCAAAGCCTATATCTCCTTTAGGAAAGGTCACTGTGTATATAGTTATTAAAGGATGAAACCACCCAACCTCCTGTGCTGCCTAGTCTGGAAGCAGGTGCTAGGTCCCATCCCATGCCAAGTGTGAAATGGGAACCAGTAATTGGCATGAATGACTAGAAGTCACTGAACAGAATTCAGATGAGAAGCATGGGAGGCCAGATGGGGAACTATCAGAGTCTGTTAAGGATTAGACATATGCTGGATCCAGTTAGATGAAAGCCAGTTACTGACTTTCAATAAAGCTTTCCTTTCTGTACACCCAAGCTAGTGGACATAACATAGTGACTTTAAAAATTTGTAGTATTGTCCCTTGTTGTTTGACTTAAGCCAGGAAATCAAGACTCCTTAAAACAGAAAAAATATTTAATGGTTTTTTAGTATCAGGCATTTTCAAGGAGAGTACCTGACACTTACCCTTATTCACTTGACTTGCTTACTTTTGCAGAATCAGGAGACAAAGCTGGGACAAAGACAAAGATAAAAGTTCACTAGCTTTAACCAGTGACTACAAAAATACCAGTCTGTAAGGAGTCTTCTACTTCTCCTTCCCTTTCTCAGTGATATTTTACATTAGTTGTATACAGTACAATTGCCACATATATATTTTATTTTAAAGAATGAATTACTTCTTATTCAGACCTTAATCTTCAATGAGACATGGAAGATATTCATTGCCTGGCCATGTATAAATTGATCTTACATCACCACTTGAAGCCTCCAGAGAACTCTATATGTGGCATCTATATATTTCTTACCTCATGCCATCTGGATAATAAGAAACTTCTCTGAGAGAAGCTGCTCTGAGGTCGGTCCATATGGTGGCAGTGACAGATCCTGGCACACAGGGGCTTTTCCTGAGTTGGGAGACACCTGAGCAGCTTGTGGGAGGCTGAGGAGATCTGCACAGTGCCAGAACAAGCACCCCTCTGTAGCCAGCCCCATGCCTTTCAGAGCAGCCCAGGGTGCAGCCAGGGTGTGCAGAAGTTCATGGCACCTTGGGAGCACAGGGAGGGCAAGGTCCTGCTGCAGCTGCAGAGCAGAGCCCGGGCAGGGGTCAGCACCCCCTGGGAGGGAGTGCAGCTGTGGTGTCCCCTCAGCAGGAGCCTGACCTCTGCATGCACCAGGAAGGAGGTGATGACCCAGGCAGGGCTGCCACATTAATTAAACATGGAGCCATGCAGGTCTGGCTGCAGGGAGGGCCAGAGCCTGTCTCTTTTGACTCAGTCATTGCTGGCAACCTCTCTTCCCACACTCCTCGAGCTGAGGGACTGCAAGGCAAGGACTGGGGCAGCAAACTCCTTCCCACTCTAAGAGACAATCAGTGTTGTTCCTGAGGAACCTCAACATACATGAGTCTCTGGGACCTGATGACATACACCCCAGAGTCCTCAGGGAATTGGCTGATGTAGTTGTCAAGTCACTTTTATGATATTTGAAAAGTCCCTGGTGACTGGAAAAGAGATAAAAATGCACCCATTTTAAAAAAGGGATAGAAGGAAGGACCACAGAAACTACTCACCTGTCAGCCTCACCTCTGTGCCTGGGAAGTTCATGGAACAGGTCCTCCCAAAAGCTGTGCTAAGGCAGATGAAGGGCAGGGAGGTGATTCAGTACAGCCAGAACAGCTTCACCAAAGGCAAGTCCTGCCCTGACCAATCTAGTGGCTTTCTGCAGTCAAGGGACTACACCAGTGCACAAGGGAAGGGCTACAGATGTCATGTCTATGAACTTTCATAAGGCCTTTGGACATGGCCACAACATCCTTCTAGCGAAACTGGAGAGAGATGGATTTGATGGTGAACTGTTCAGTGGATGAGGAATTGATTGGATGGTCAGATCTAGAGGGTGGTGGTCAACAGCTCAGTGCCCCAGTGGACATCAGTGACAAGTGGTGTCCCTCAGAGGGCCATATTGTGGTTTGGATTTTGTATGGTAACACACTAATGTTTTAGTGATTGTGAAGTAGTGCTTATTCTAAATCAAGGACTTTTCAGTTTCTCTCGCTCTGCCAGTGAGGAATTGCAGGAGAAGCTGGGAGGGAGCATGGCCAGAACAACTGATACAAAGTGGCCAGAGGGATATGCCATACCACAGAATATCATGCTCAGCATATAAACTGGGGGGAGTTGTTTGGGAGCATGGTTTGCTGCTTGGGGAGGGCCCGGGCTTCAGTCAGTGATATGGTGAACTACTGTGTTGTGGATAGTTTTTCCTCTCCAGCATTATTTCTCTCTCTCTCTCTCTCCCCCTTTCAATGTAATTATTATTCCTATTATTATTATCATCATCATCATATTTTATTTTATTTCAATTATTAAAGTGTTCATATCTCAACCAATGAAGTTTCATTTTTCTTTCTCAATTCTTCTCCCCTCCAGCAGTGGTGGAGTGAGTAGCAGCATGGCACTCAGCTGCCAGCTGGGGTTAAACCACAACAGTCCTACTGACTCATCTCCTCTTAGAGCAGGCACCAAAAAACCTGTGTGTTTATGTTATTACACAATGGAATTTGCTGGTATTTAATACACAATTACACATTCTGATATTAAGTTATGCTGGTGTATACAAACTGTATACAGTTTGATGTGAATCACTGATAGATTGTTGTATGCAAGAGTTTCCCAGGGACAAAGCAACTCCCAAAATCTAAACCAACAAGGTCCGAGACACAAAAAAACCTGCAAAAACCATGGATCCCAGAACCTATCCCTAAACTCTGGGTTGAATGGCAGGAAAAATGTAGGTTGCTATTAGACTTCTTTAATTTAGTGTAAGCTCTAAACATTAATTGAACTTGATGTAAATTATTTTTGTTCCATAAATCTTTCTCACCATTTGACTGCAGTTAAAGGAAGATGGTAAAAGTAATGTATGCTGGGAAAAGAAGTGCTTATGCTTATTAGATCCCTCCTCTAGTAAGTAAGGGCAGAAGACTTTTTGACATGCATCAGGCCCTTTACTGTGCCTTTCTAACTTCTAACCATGTTAATATGTAATTTACCCCAAGACACAGCCACCATGAGGAAAAACAGGTAGGTTCCCCATCCTATGACAGACCATGAGCATTTTTGCTTTTCTTTCATAGCTTGTTCTTCATCTCCATGTCTTCATGATGGGACATGCATTCTGGACAAAAGCAGCACCTACAAGTGTGCCTGTCTGGCTGGCTATACAGGGAATCGCTGTGAAAACTGTGAGTACAGGCACTGGTGCATGACCAGCCTCCAGGGCTGTCACTGATGCATTAATTGTAAGGAGTGTTGGTGGTGTGTAGGTTTGGTCAGTCACAGATTCAGAGAATGCACTGACTTTCTTGTGGCATTTTTTAAGACGTGTTTCTTGCAGTTCATGAAGATTTCCACTCAGTCATTCTGGAGCTTTATGTCAATGTGCAAAAAGGTAAAACAGACTTGAAGCCGGGAAACTGCACACAAGAAATCTTTGTAATGGATTAGCCTTATCAGACAGAAGTATCTCTGCCTGCTGCTTTCCACTATGTGCATCAGCTGTTCTCTACTGAAAACACATACCCCAGCTGAGCCCTGTGCTTAATGCTCTAGACTGAGTTAGTCATAGGAAATTCATCTTTCCTCACAGTCTCCTGGAAAGTAAAATTTTGGCACCATGAATGAAAGAGACTTGGGATCAAAACAAATGAAAAAGGGTAGATTCTCTTCATATCTGCACCTATAGTCATACACCTGGTTTTGTCCTGACAAGTGAATTGTAAAATTACTGGATTCAAATCAATTGTCTGTTCCAGTGATTTACTTCTTCATGCATGAGAATATCTTCCTCTAACAGGGCTCAAAAGAGCATGAGGGAGTAAGAATTTTGCAATATATGCCATGATAAAAGCTGTATCATTTATACTAGCTGAAAGGAACATTCTGCAATACTTAAAGTCACTGAGCTGTTCCTGGAAGATTTCACAGATAGTGGTGAAATCCACTTGGGATCATATTTAGCCCAAGACAGAAAGCATGGCTTACTCTATCCTGCTGTGGCGTTCATCCGGCCCTAAGGCACACAAATGACATTGTATCAGTAGAGATATGAAAACAGGGAGGGACAGATAAGTGCATGTAATGGGAAGCAGAGGTTTCAAAGGAACTAATATACACCAAACTTCACTTCAAAATCTTTTCCCTGTGTATGCCATTGTTAGGAGTGGATTTATCTCCTGGAATTTCTTCTATTTCGTCAGGGGAGTTAAATCATAGTGGCATGATATCTCCTTTGATGAATCATTTTGAGGTAAAAGACTTTTCAATTTCTACGCATCCAGAAGTAGCTCAGACATGAGGAGAGGTTGCTTCATATTTTCCAGAAACCTGAAAAAAAATTGTCTCTGAACAGATTGCACAGATTCCTGGTATGTTTTCTTTAGGGAAGAGGTTGCTAAAAAGTGGAAGTTCCTGACCTCAGGACTAAGAGTGTCTGGCTCTTCTGCTAACAGCCTCTTTCCTGTGAGTAGTTGTTTAGCAGGTCATTTAGGGACTGGAAACTCCTGAGCTCTTTGCAACTGCTCAGCAAGATTAGTTCTGCTCCTTTAGAACAGAGTGAGGGGAAAAAAAAAAGGAAAGATTCCTGTCTGATTCAGAACCAACCAAAATTTCAAATAATTACATTTCCAGCAAACCTCAGCCCTAGTTTTGGCAGGCTCTACAGCACAGGCAAGGCAAAGAATGGAGCTCATATTCTTTTACTGACTTTCTTTTGTAATTCCAGTGTAGAAGCTTCACCCGTGCAAACAACAGGGGAGATAGTTGAAAAACAATAGGATGGGATTTCTGTCACTGTAAGCAATGAAAGGTACAGGCACTAACAGGATGAGAGAGAGACACTTAAACACATATACAGTAAGATTTTTAACTTGATGAGAATCTTTTAGTTTTATTTGTAAAAGAACAACTTTGGTGGATAAAATTCTGTTACATTATGATGTTTGTGGCTATATGTTTGCCTTTTGTTTATGCTAGGCATAATATTGTTTTCCAGCATCTATATTACTGCCTTCTCTGTGAATAGCAAACCTCGCAGTTAGAAAACATCATGGCAAATCTTTTTTCTCTCCAGCCTCGAGTAATTTTTTTTCTTAAGATATTTCCTTCAGTTTTGCCAAAATGCATCCTAAGTATTTTCCAATGTAAGGGGAGAAAAGCCAGAAAATTAAAGTTTGATTTGGTTTTTTAAGAACAAAAGGAAGAACTGGGAAAAATGTATATGGCTGCAATTCTTTAAAAGCTAATTGCAGTTTCCTGAACAGCCTTTTAGTTTAAATGTTAAAGAGAGATTGTGTTTTCCTCAAAATCTTTCTTTTTGTTAGGTCTTTCAGCAAAAGTGCTGTATTTTGAGGTAGAGACAAGGGAAATCAATTTATTTCTGCAGACAACTGTGATAAAATAGTCACTTTTGGAGTATGGAATATGAGTTTGGGCACTATAAGACTGACTTTTTTCAGTCTGGTTTTCTTGAAACCAGGTGCAATCCCATTAAAGTTAATGGATGCAAAATAGGTACAAGAGAGAAGAAAATTACAACCCCTTAATGTTAAGTGCATGTAGAAGCTCTGAGGTGGTGGAACAGAAGGTACCCAGAGAGATATCAGGGTTTTAAAGAAATCCAGGGGACATGATTCAGATGAAGAGAGACTGTAGGATTATCTCAGGAATGAGTTAAGGCCAAATTAAACAAATTTAGCAATGAGTATTTCATGACAGAATCAGAAATGGTTTTTTTCCCTTACCATCCCAATGCAGCTCTATCTTTTTGTCTGTTACCAAGTTTAATTTTAAACATGTAGAAATCACTATTGGAATTATGGAGATCACCTTAATGTGATAAACCACAGGGAACCTATTGTTTCCTTCATTAAATTAAATTCAATCTATTTAGCATTGGTCAAGCTGCTTTCCTGGAGTCATATTTAACCCTAATTGCCCTGCCACTTACAATCTGCAATATTAATAAAATAATCCAAGGTACAGGTTACTTACAGCTAGCAGTCTCTTTTATCTTCTACTATGGCAGCCAAGAAATTAACATTTTGTTTACAATTTAAAGGGCTAATATAGTGAATTAAAGGTTTCAACAGCATGGAGTGAAATGTAGGCATTTATCTTTCTGACAGCTGCTAATATATTTCAGTCAGTCCTGTTTCAGGGCAAGAAATATTTTATATAGATATGTATTATTTCACTCCTGAGACCATTTAAAAAAATTTATATGAAATTGTAAAACAAATGCTAACCTTCTGTCTTCTGACTCAAAACACAAAAAACACAAATCCTATATGTGACCATGGTCACAAGGGTTTTCAGGATGAAGAAGAGACGAGAATGTTGACTCCATGATCAGAAGGCTTGATTTATTATTTTATGATATATGTTACATTAAGACTATACTAAAAAGAAATAGAAAGGAAAAGGTTTCTTCAGAAGCTAGCTAAGCTAAGAATAGAAAAAAATGAATAACAAAGATCTGTGTCTCAGACAGAGCAAGAGCCAGCTCTGCCATGAGTGCTCAGTAAATCCAAACATCCACAGGAGACCAATCACGGGTCTACCTGTTGCATTCCACAGCAGCAGATAACCATTGTTTACTTTTGGTTGCTGAAACTGCAGCTTCTCACAAGGAAAAATCCTAAGAAAGGATTTTTCATGAAAGATGTCTGCGACACCTATAGATAGCAAAAATACCTTCTTAAAATAAACATACTTTGCTATCATGATACAGTAGGTAGAGAAAACTAACTCCTGTTTTAAATACTCGGGCTTCTTTCTGACCTTAACGTGAATTTGCGGTATACCTACATCCCCCTCCCCGTGACCCCTTAGCCATGCTGACATGATTGAGAGCAAACTCAGGCTTTTCTCTTTGACCTTTGTATATTCTAATGCTGTCAGAGGCATTAGGAACCCACAAAATCAGATAATCTTGTTCTCCTAGCATACAAATACACTGAGACAAACCAGCAACTTCATCAAAAGATGCAGGGGAAAAGTAAGAAGCTGACTAGTGAAAAACCTGCCTGCTAAAAAACATCCACTCTAGTGTCAGAATGCCCATGACTCTGTGCAGTGTGACAACTACTTGTCCAACTCAAACTAAGAAAGGTCTTTTCCAAAGTTGCCCTGTTGAGTTTGCCTGCTGAGGATGCAGCTGTAGAGACAGTATTGCTGGTACCCCATAGCAAATGCTCTTGCCCTCTGCTTGTCCTCCTCCTAGAACGAGCTGTTCTGACTCAGAGTCCTCCCAGGGCTTGCTGGCCTCAAAGCAAGAGACCTTGACCTCATCCTGCCCAGAAATTTCCTGTTACCTTTATTTCAAACAAAGCCAGGCGAACTGGAGTTCCTACGCAAATAAGAAGAGCTTTGCTGAATGGGGAATTCAGGGCTGAGATCTGATTTCCATTTTTATTCTGTTTCTTGCTCCTGTCTGCCAAGTAGGAGAGGTTTGTTCTGCATCCTAATGAAGAGTCTAATCCAACTGACAAAACTGTATAAACTAACTCCTTGCTGTAGCCTTTGATGTTGCTAGGGCTGGCCTTACTGTGTGCCAACAGGCCTCTGAATATAGCTTTCAGGCCTTTCCCCACAGCTGATATAATCCACTTCCATCCTTTTTGGCCCCATATATCTGTGACTTGGGCTGGTTCTTAGGGATGTGCTCATCCTATCAGAGCCTCCTTATATCTAAAATAGGGAGGAAGCATTAACATCCCACCAACCACACCTCACCCCCTGTTCTGCTGTGGGAGAAAGGAGCCCAGCTGTCAGTGCTTGGCATAAGCTAGACAGAGTTTGAAACCCAGCAGAGCTGAGGATGAGGCACTGGGGAGAGGTTCTGGACATTGAACATAGGTTTTCTTACCTAACCTTCAATATGTAATGCAGAGTTTTCTAATAGCATGCTTGGAGGGTTTTTTTTTAAATATAATTTTGTCAGAAAGATTCTCAGTAATAGATTTCAAGGAGTGCCATAATCACTGTGTAAGTGTATAATTACATTATATCAGTGTGTAATCACTTCACCATTTACAGCTCACATGTGTTACACCTTACCTACACTGTATGATTACAATGGAGAACTTCAGGTATAATTAAATAAAAACCCCTGAGTCCTTTCTTGCAGTGTTGCACTGGAAATTAGTCCTATTCCAGCTAGGGAAAATGTTCCAAATAGAAATAT